GTGTGTGTGTAATTTGAAGAAATGGCTTAATTTTGTGTCATGGCTGCGATCTGCTTACTTTCTACAAATTTAAACAACTGAATCATAATCCTCTGAGACTGGTGATGCCATGATATTAGCCAGGGGTTGTACAATGATTTTTCTGGCAAATTAGAGGCCAGGTCTAGAATGCACATAGTAAGAGGTGGGGGGGGGGGGGACACTTGATCCACTGTACACACACTTCCATGATCAATATCCTTCCTTGCATGATAAAAATTTCAATAGACACCTCTCTGACAATGTCAATCAAACTGAGCATTTTCTCCTTAAATGCAGAAATTATAATGCGCATCTTGAGATGAGGTCTGATTAGATGATGTGGGCCTATTTTCTGAATTGTCTGATGAGCGTGTTATGCCTAAAAGCTCCAGAAATAAAAGTCTGACTCACCAGTGAAAGCAATGGGGTCAAGTAGCGCCAGCAGATTTTGAAGAAAGGGTTGGCACGCTGGCCTGTCATGTCTGCTATGATACCACACAACCGCTCTGCTCCTTCAGGGAGAAGTATGAGTAGATAGAATATTACATAATAATCCCCTATTAGAACAACGAAAATAATGTACTTACCAGGATTATAATGTTTTGGACTTTTCATGACAGGAATTTTTTTTTAATTTTGTTTTTAAATGCAGTTGGTTTTCCTTTTTTAGCGTGTGTTTATCATTTTTTTAAGCATTTTTTTTTCAGTTTAGTTTTAATCGGTTTATCATTCAAAAATTTTTAATGCAATGTTTGCCAATTACATGATTAAAAAAAGTGCCAAATGTGTCAACTGCAATTTCGCAAAAACTGTTTTACCTTCCTTCTTCCATTCAGTAATACCAAAATAAATACATTTAAAATTAACCCGAAATGAATTTAATCGACAAAGTCACCAATGAAGGACATTTTCATTGTAATGTAATTATAGTTCGTTTTATAAACATAAAATGTATTTTCATCTTTTATTAAAAGCATTCGCATTTTTATTTCACTTAGTTAACGAAAATGTTTCTTCAATTTTAGTCAGCGATTAACTATCCGGGGGAGACTCTATGGTCAAAGTTGACTGTCCACTGCTCGTGACAAGACAGATGAATTTCTGTCACACCCATGTCAAAAATGTACCAAATCTTTAGTCCGTTTTGCCAATAAATCATAAAAGATCACACAATGATGGAAAAAATACAAGAAAGAAGCCATCAACCTACCAAAAATCCAACCAACTGCCAAGCTTTCAAACACACAGAGAAAGAGGACGCAGGCTCCATTGCAAGCGTAGTAATCGAAAATCTGGAAGACGTACATCCCTCCCTGAGGACGACATATTTTGGCAACAATATTAGGTTCACTTGTATAATGGATTGTACAGCCTACAATTTGTGTCTCTTTAGGATTGTGCGGGTGTGTGCAGTCAAGTGTCCAACTTGAGCGTCCAGTTTATTTCGCTCAAAACAAATGGAAGGATTCATTTCGTGGTGATAAGCTACCAGGGTGCTTATGGTCTTTAAATGTTTTTGTTTGACAGCACAGACAGATTCATAATGACGCGAGCCAAACATTCCAACCTCAGTGATCATGACGAGCTGTAATAAGAAACACGTGAGGCTGAAGAGCAGAAGGAAACCTTCCCGCCCGCCTCTCCGACGCATCGCTGCAGGAAACATGTCTGCAATTGATGTCATCACCGTCTCCATGCCGACAAACTGCAGAGAAAGCAGAGCTGTGAGGTCACTTCCAAGCAGAAAGGAATACCAAGACGGACGTCTCACCTGCGTGTCCAGCCCAAGGAGGAGGAGCATGATGAAGAAACTGATGGACCACACTCGAGGCAGCGGCATCATGGCCACCGCCTGAGGGTATGCGATAAATGCCAAGCCTGGACCTGCAACCATATTAACATGCACCACCAGTTTGGTACGTTTCAAATATCTGAAGTGGATCCAAGTCCAGACAGCACGGTAGTTGTGTTTACCACAGTCTCAGGTTCACGGTTTGAATCTTGGTTCCTCCCAAGTAACAAAAACATGCATTCGCGCTCAGTTCATTGAGGACGCTTCATTTTCCAGGGATGTGAATGTGAGTGCTTGTTTTTACGGATAAGCGCTACAGAAAGTGCATGGAGGGATTCGTCGAGTAAAATCATATTGGCTGAAAGATTAAAAAAAAAAACATTCCCAATGTCTCAAATTTTGGGGGCAGATATCATGCAGGCAAACTTTCTCAAGTGTAGAAAAGCGCTCAGCCCATTGTGCTCCAGGCTGGGGAAATCAGGACACAGAAGCCAAACAGCTACTGACACACCGAGCACCAGGGAACCGCCAGGTAACGTGAAACTTTTTGCTCATTTGGAATAATGTTCAATATTAGCAGTACAGTACAACTTCGTCAAGTGAGAAAAGAAGTAAAAGACACTGGAGTCCTCCCAGAGCAGCCCCCACTCTCTAGTTGGGCCAATCCATTCTTTTTTTTTTTTTTTTTAACCCTGTCTCTTCTTTTTCATAGGGTGAGACTTAAGATTTACCTGACTCGGCCACCTCTGCGATAGGTACACCTTGCTCGTGAGCCATAAATCCCAGCACAGAGAAGACGGCAAAGCCAGCCACCACACTGGTACAACTGTTCAGCAAACACAGCCAAAAGCAGTCCCTGCAACACACAAATGCATTTTTGTTCTGAACTTGACCAAAAGGACCAACATTTGAGATATAAGAAGCGAAGCAAGAATTACCGGTACACAAATTGAAACCAAAACACTCCTCCGTATTTTCAGCGAAGATTTTGTGTTCATTTCTGTGTATTTACTGTTTTGTAGTAGTTTATAGCTAATTGACTTCAAGCAGCTGAAAAACAACGGCACTACGCTGTTATTTTTAAACCCGTTAGGGCCGGAACAAACGTATTTAATACATTTACGCAGTACTGAATGCACACAGCAGGTGGCACGCTGGAGGACTGGTTAGCATGTTTGCCTCACAGTCCAGACGTGCAGGGTTCGATTCCGGCGTCGGCCTTCCTGTGAGGAATTTGCATGTTCTCCCTGTGCCTGCGTGGGTTTTCTTCGGGTACTCCGGTTTCATCCCACATTCTAAAAACATGCATGGTAGGTTGACTGGACACTCTAAATTGTCCCTCGGTGTGATTGTGAGCGTGAATGGCTGACAAGCAGTTCAGGATGCATCCCACCTTCTGAATTTTCATTCAGCTCTTGAATTGTATCTTTGCCCAATCTAGGTGTACCTAATGTTCTGGGTGGTGAGCGTGTGCATTGTTGTGTTTTCTAGTTCTATTGTTAGACGTACTTGTAGCAATTGTTGTTGTGGGTGTTGTAGCTGCCCAGTACCGTCAGGCTTCCCACACCGAGGCCGTATGAGAAGAATATCTGCGAGACGGCATCCAGCCACACCTGTTTAAAAAGACACCCATAGAGCGTGTTTTTCCTTTAACACAATGTATGTAACATAACAGTCCTACTTGAGGGTCTGCGAGTCGTGTCGGATCGGGCAGAAGGTAGAACTCCACTCCTTGTCTGGCTCCCGGAAGAGAGAGTCCTCGGATCAAAAGGATGAGGAGCATCACGTAAGGGAATGTGGCAGTGAAGTACACTACCTGGACAAGAGGACGGTCAACAGATGTCACAGCATTAGAATTTTTTTATTTTTATTTCTTTTAGCGCTTGGTACAGTTTGATGGGACTTCACCTTTCCGGTTGATTTGACCCCTTTCCAGATGCAGAAGTAACAAATGACCCAAATAGCCAGGAGGCACAAAAGCATCTCCCACCTGATGCTGCCAATCTCCTCAATGCCCCCTGAGATTTTCAACACTCGAAGTCTGTATAGGTTAAAAACAACAACATAATAAATGATTGGTGAAAAAAATTATATTTCAGTATATTATTTGCCTTACTCCCAGAATTCCGTTGCTGCCGAAGTTCCATTGGTGTGGTTCATTGTCGTAACATCAAAACAATCCGCTGAAACAATGACAAAGGCATTCACACTGAGGCATTATGAACTATATTTGTATTTAAAAGGGATGCACTGAAACTGAAATGAAAATTCTTGGCCGAAACTGAAAACTGAAATGAGAGGAACCTTCCATCCATTCTGGGATCCACTTAACCTCAGGCATGCGGGCATGGTGGAGTCCCAGTTGACTTTGGGCAGGATAGGCGGGATACACCCTGAACTGGTTGCCAGCCAATCACAGTGTACACATAGACAAAGAACCATTCACACACACACAATAGTTCACACACACAGGCACGAGGAGAACGTGCAAAGTCCACACAGGTAGACCTCTGCACTGTGAAGCAGACATGGTAATCAGTCATCCAACCTTCATTCTGTCTCTCTCTCTCTCACAGTTTCCTCCTACATTCCAAAAACATGCATGGAACACTCAAAATTGTCCCTAGGTGTGAATGTGAGGGTGGATGGTTATTCGTCTATATGTGCCCTGCGATTGGCTGGCAACCGGTTCAGGGTGTCCCCTGCCGACTACCCAAAGACAGCTGGTATAGGCTCTAGCACCTCCCGCGGCCCTTGTGAGGATAAATGAATCAGAAAATGGATGAATGGATTTATATATAGACTATAGACCTCACCTGTGTTCCAGTAGTTGTCGCAGGTACTCCATGGCAGTGGGGATTTGAAGGAAGAAAAGAGGTAGAACAGAGTCCAGGCTAGAACAACCATGTAGGTCATGCAGGTGTACAGCAGAATCAGTTCACCTCCATAGCCGATACCTGTACACACATTCGAGGTTCAAGTATGTAGGTTCAAGTGTCTCAAGAGACCTCCATGCATGGGGTAGGATACGATTCAAGGATGAAATGATGATTCTGTTCGATTCAGTGGCATTCTGATTCTTGACATGGTCCGGCAATGTCTTTTGTCCGTTTTATGAATATGTAAAACATGTAAAAGCTCTCCAAATCCCAAATTATTTTAGGTAAATAAATTCACAACAACAAATCATCAGCAATATAATTTAATATTGGACCGATTTATACCTGTTATGCAGCCCTCATAAAAGACCATTGAATACGTAATATCGTAATGCAGGAGGTGCGATACGATTCAAGAACGGTACATTTTGAAATGTAACAACGATCCAGTATTCATTTAACAACATATTTATTGTTGTGCTAGTCATTTGCAGTGGTGTCAAGTATTGTTAAGTGATGCGAATATATCATCAGGGTGCCATAACATGATGAGACACCGTTAATATGGGATGCTGGTGTATGGGCAATGTATTCGAACAAATAACATTAAAATATATCACAATATAAATAGTTGATGCTGTTGTTTTAACACTGTATCATAACAGAGAACTATCCGATATAATATTAGCAATATTTGATGCTACTAAGTCAGTTGGGTATCGCGATTGATAATATAGATTGTAATTACATTACATATAATGTATCACACGTCAATATTTTATGCCGCTGTATCAAAAACATAGTTTTATGGTGTCATGACATGATTGTTTTGACACTGACATCTCAAAACTCAATCCAAAGAGTGAACAATTACAATAGATCACAATCTTGATCGTAGATTCAGTTTTATCAAGACTGGATTACAACGGTTGACAATATCATCCATCACAAAATCAAAATGTTGTCCCACCACCACTTCTGCCATTAAACTATGTTTTGAAACTATTTAAAAAATATATATTTTTTTGTTGTTGTATTTTTTTTAACTGAATGCTGTTCATATTTGCCTCAGACTTACATTGACATTAACATTTGTGTTTGTTTCAGTCACTGGATAATGTGTCACTCACATCTCATACTCCTCAAAGTGTTGTGAACTCAATGTAACATTGATGGAAAATCTACAAATGGGTTCTTTTTGGAAAGAATGAGTTCCTTCATTCTTTGTGTTAGAGAATGGCAGTCTTGTACGTGACAGAGTGTTGCACACCTTCAGCCAAGGGGCACAGCTTCCTCCAGCAGGTGATGGCGCCCTCTTGGGTATGCTGGCCCATGGTGGTCTCCAAAAGGAAGAGCGGGACGCCACACAACACCGCAAATACCAGATATGGCACCAGGAAGGCGCCTGGATGTTACACATAGTTCTGTGACATGTACAACTTTTGTAAGAAGTGCCGAGTGCCACATTTGCTTACCGCCGCCGTTTTTGTAACACAAGTACGGAAACCTCCACACATTGCCAAGGCCCACAATGTTCCCGGCAACAGCCAGAAGAAATTCCACCTTGCTGCTCCAGCGTCCTCTCTCCTCAAGTACATTCTGGCGTGTTTTCCTCCACATTCTCCAAAAGTTCAATGGAAATCCAATCTTCCTTTAACCCCCACACAAGACACACATTAAAGTCACATAATGAGTACCTGAACGGAGTCATTCATCAGTTCAGAGGGAAAATTTTTAACTATAAGACATGTAGAGGAAATTACAGAAGCGTAGGGCTGCCACACCAAAGGGGGAAAAAACAAAACAAAAAAACCCTACGAAAGTTGTCACATTTTTATGTGACAGCTTTCGTGGGTTAGCGTTTTATTTTATTATTATCACGTAAAACATGCAAATTTTCATGTAAAATTGTAAAAATGATCATATAAAAATGTGAAACATGTAAAAACATGAAAAGTACAAAATGTGACAAAGTTGGCCTCGCTGAGGACTTCCCAACTTCTGTTGCGACCTTGGTCCCATCTGCAGCAGGACACAGAGGCAGGTGCTTCCAAATCGAATCAATAATAATTATAATAGAATTTAGTTGCACTAAACCTGGAGTTGCTGATCTTTTTACAAAATCGCAGTGTACAAGATTTCTTCAAACACATCAATCACAGCAAGTCATCCATGTCCTGAAAGAGCAGGGTAGCACCAGGCCATCATACTACCACTACCAGGCCAACACTGGCATCTTGCTGAGTTGGTTTTACAAGTGCTGCATGTTGAAGCGCATGAAAATTATTAAAGAGGCAAAAGGGGAAAAACTTGCATTAAAACAGTGGCCCAAGAATGAAGTCATTCAGCTCAAATTAAGTAGTCCACATCACTCAGATAGTCTTTTCACAATTAGCAGTTTTAGTGACCATTTTGACAAATCTTCATCGCTTTCTGCAGGTTGAGGGGAAGGCCACGTCTCCGCTCTATGGATAGAAGAGAATACGATTGTCAAATGATGCGATACATAATAGAGAGAGAAAGAGAGAGAGAGAGAGAGAGAGAGAGAGAGAGAGAGAGAGAGAGAGAGAGAGAGAGACCTTACCTGTGTTCCTGTGTCGCAGGTACTCCAGGGCAGCGGGGAGTTGAGGGAGGACAAGAGGTAGAACAGAGTCCAGGCCAGAATAATTTTGTAGGTCATAAAGATGTACACCAGAATTAGCTCACCTCTATAACCGATACCTGTACACCAGAGGCGATTGCTCTAAGACTGCAAGGGAAGGTCAGCTTCCCCTCCTCCTAAAATAAGTGATCAAATATATGTGTGTACATACAATTGTGTGTACATGTCATTGACTAAATATAAATATGGGCTACAACGCGCTCAACTTTTGTTCTGAATCAGCTTCTTAAGACTGGTTACGATGCGACTCTCTTCTCATTCATTCTCGCACCTTCACTGTGCTTTAGACTGTGTGGATGTTGATCATCTACAGCGCGGACAATGGGTGTCTAGAGAGTTCAGTGTAGGTTGTCCCAATGCTTTGAAACGAGACAAGTCATTGGACAAATTCTGGTTTTGTCCCCCCCCCCCACCGGACGCTCAGTGTCTGTGGGAGTCTATGGACAGTGGGCATGTATCGGCTGGCCCGGACGCTGAGCTTTTCTGCATGATGATTGGATGATCTGTCTGAGGCTGAATCTCTTTTTGATTGACAGCGAAATGAGCCAATCACCGATCTTTTAGCGTAGGGATCCGTGGGAGTATCTTTCAATTCTCATTCTGTTCTAAGTTGAACTGGAGACTTCTTCTAATCATCTGAGCGACACTCTCTTTGTTGAAAACGACGAGCGGCAAATTAATCTTTTATTTCTGGTGGGTTTCATTGTAGTTGCTGTTAGGTTAAAATAAATATTTGTGGTATTCAGCCCTCTCCCCCCACCCCCTCCAGAATTGGTTAATTAAAATGAATGTATTTATTAATTCTAATCACATTTAAATGTATGTTTTTCATCAAAATAAATGAATTTTATTGTAAATTTTAATGGTGGAATAAATACGTTTACATATACAATCAAATATGGTGGCCGACTCACATATTACAACTCAAAACTCAACAACAAGAAGTCCCACTTGTCATGATTCGGTTTGGGACCAACAGGTGGCACTGTAGGGCTCCCCCTGCAGCTGCACACCTGTTGGTCGTTGGGTAATTAGTTCTATAAAAGGACTCCCGCCAGAACACTCATAGTCGGGTCATTGTTGCTCTTTGCTGCTGTCATGTTTGTTTGTCTGTCATGTTTTTGCTCATGTTTGTTATTGATAGTTTTGAGCTTCAGTCATGGTTTTTGTTTGATACTTTGGACTTTGTTTGTTTAGGATTTAGTTTTCCGTGTTTTATCAATACACTTCTTCAAATACACCCTGCTCCTCCCTCCTGCCTGCTTTTTGGGGTCCTCCACCACCCCGCAACGCGACACCACTCACCAGTGAAACCAACGGGCTAATATAGCGCCAGCAGATTTTGAAGAACGGGTTGGGACGGTCGCCCGTCATCTCCTCTATGATGCCACACAGCCGTTCTGCGTCTTCGGTTTGAAGTATGTACAAAGGCACATAAAAAGTTTCAAGGGTTGACTTGTCAGTGCCTTACCCTTGGCCTCAGCTCACACATTACTCGAATAAAGCTAATCGGTTTAGGAGAAGGATGGAAATCTTTTATGACCATTCTACGCTTCCAACTTGATGGAAAACATACATAACGTCATGGTTGTATGAGCCCTGACCTGAACCCCATGAAACAAAATACAGAAATTGTGAGCCAGGCTATAACCTCACAAATGTTCTTTGGGAAAGTGGACCGAAATTCCCGCATCCTCTTAAATCATGGATACTGCGTAGGTAAGATTAGTTCACTTTTATTTTCTGTTGTTACTCCCTGTAAATTATTATTATTTTTGCACTACAGGTCCAGGAGGATAGGACATGAGTACTAAAAGAATAAATTCAAGAAAGACTATAAGAAAAATGTGTGCCTGCTTGATGAAACATTTCAATGGCGAAGCCAGGTCAAATGCTGTACAATGTGGTTGTTTATGTAGTTGATGAATTCAGGTCCATGATTGCTTCTTTTGAGGACTTCAGGGTCAGTTCATTTTTTTTTTTTTGTCTGTGTCAGAATCATTCTAGATCCTCCTCACGGATGCGTTGCTGTGCCGTGCCTTTGTTTAGGGTCAGCGAGCAGTCAGGCGGCTCGGGCCAGCACAGGTGATGCAGACGCTAAAAAATGGATACAAACAACACTTACTGAATGATGCCACAATCTTGCATACAGCAAAACAATTGAATATATTGGCTGCTTATTGGATTCATACAAAAGTCTTCCTTCTGCCCACCTGACTGAGGGTTCCTTTTGTAGTGCTCAACTTGTACAGTGCCCAGGCTGGCACGAAGAGGATGGAGGAGAAGGCAGTTATCCAGCCCAACGCGTAGGCCCAATTCGGGTACACGTACCAACGGTTGAATGTCAGTGGCTGATACTCAACTAGGGAATATATGAAAGAGCCCTGGAACAAAAAATGACAAGTACTATATCGACGGTATATATCTAGATGAGAGGGTGACACAGGAGTGGATTTTCACTCATGTCCCATACCACTACTACAGAAAAGACTCCAATACCAAGTCCCAAACCAAAGTTAAATTAAAAAAAAAATCCTGCCCCGGCCCACTCCCGTTCAGAATGACTTCCCACTCCCATTCCGCTCCCAATTTGGAGGTCATTTACATTTAAAAAAAGTCATGTTACTCGTTTAATAACAGTTTGTGGCTCCCTTTTTCTCATGGACGTTTTTTTCCATGATTTGTGTGTGTGTGTGTGTGTGTGTGTGTGTGTGTGTGTAATTTGAAGCCATGAAATGGCTTAATTTTGTGTCATGGCTGCGATCTGCTTGCTTTCTACAAATTTAAACAACTGAATCATCATCCTCTGAGACTGGTGATGCCATGATATTAGCCAGGGGGTGTACAACAATTTTTCTGGCAAATTAGAGGCCAGGTCTAGAATGCACATAGTAAGAGGTGGGGGCGGGGGCGGGGGGGACACTTGATCCACTGTACACATACTTCCATGATCAATATCCTTCCTTGCATGATAAAAATTTCAATAGACACCTCTCTGACAATGTCAATCAAACTGAGCATTTTCTCCTTGAATGCAGAAATTATGATGCGGATCTTGAGATGAGGTCTGATTAGATGATGTGGGTCTATTTTCTGAATTGTCTGATGAGCGTGTTATGCCTAAAAGCTCCAGAAATAAAAGTCTGACTCACCAGTGAAAGCAATGGGGTCAAGTAGCGCCAGCAGATTTTGAAGAAAGGGTTGGCACGCTGGCCTGTCATGTCTGCTATGATACCACACAACCGCTCTGCTCCTTCAGGGAGAAGTATGAGTAGATAGAATATTACATAATAATCCCCTATTAGAACAACGACAATAATGTACTTACCAGGATTATAATGTTTTGGAGTTTTCATGATAGGTATTTTTTTTGTTTGTTTGTTTTTAAAAGCAATTGGGTTTTAATTAGTTTTTTAGAGCATGTTTATCATTTTTTCGTATTTTTTTCCTCAGAAATGCTCCCTTTCAGTTTAGTTTTAATCACTTCATCGTTCAAAATTTTTTATGCAGTATTTGTCAATTACATGATTAAAAAAAGTCTCTATTATGTATTCAAGTAAACTGCAATTTCCCAAAAGCTGTTTTACCTTCCTTCTTCCATTCAGTAATACCAAAATAAATACATTTAAAATTAACCCGAAATGAATTTAATCGACAAAGTCACCAATGAAGGACATTTTCATTGTAATGTAATTATAGTTCGTTTTATAAACATAAAATGTATTTTCATCTTTTATTAAAAGCATTCGCATTTTTATTTCACTTAGTTAACGAAAATGTTTCTTCAATTTTAGTCAGCGATTAACTATCCGGGGGAGACTCTATGGTCAAAGTTGACTGTCCACTGCTCGTGACAAGACAGATGAATTTCTGTCACGTCATATTAGCGCCCTTGATGAAAATGTACCACATCTTTAGTCCGTTTTGCCAATAAATCATAAAAGATCACACAATGATGGAAAAAATACAAGAAAGAAGCCATCAACCTACCAAAAATCCAACCAACTGCCAAGCTTTCAAACACACAGAGAAAGAGGACGCAGGCTCCATTGCAAGCGTAGTAATCGAAAATCTGGAAGACGTACATCCCTCCCTGAGGACGACATATTTTGGCAACACTTTTAGGTACACTTGTATAATGGATTGTACAGCCTACACTTTGTGTCTCTTTAGGATTGTGCGGGTGTGCGCAGTCAAGTGTCCAACGTGAGCATCCAGTTTATTTCACTCAAAATAAATGGAAGGATTCACTTTGTGGTGATAAGCTACCAAGGTGCTTATGGCCTTTGAATGTTTTTGTTTGACAGCACAGACAGATTCATAATGACGCGAGCCAAACATTCCAACCTCAGTGATCATGACGAGCTGTAATAAGAAACACGTGAGGCTGAAGAGCAGAAGGAAACCTTCCCGCCTGCCTCTCCGACGCATCGCTGCAGGAAACATGTCTACAATTGATGTCATCACCGCCTCCATGGCGACAAACTGGAGAGAGAGCAGAGCCGTGAGGTCACTTCCGAGCGGAAAGGAATGCCAAGACAGATGTCTCACCTGCGTATCCAGGCCAAGGAGGAAGAGCATGATGAAGAAACTGATGGACCACACTCGAGGCAGCGGCATCATGGCCACCGCCTGAGGGTATGCGATAAATGCCAAGCCTGGACCTGCAACCATATTAACATGCACCACCAGTTTGGTACGTTTCAAATATCTGAAGTGGATACAAGTCCAAACAGCACGGTAGTTGTGTTTACCAAAGTCTGAGGTTCACGGTTTGAATCTTGGTTCTTCCCATGTAAACAAAAACATGCATTCGCGCTCATTTCATTGAGGACGCTTCATTTTCCAGGGATGTGAATGTGAGTGCTTGTTTTTGCGGATAAGCGCTACAGAAAGTGCATGGATGGATTGATGAAGAGAAGTCGAGTAAAATCACATTGGCTGTGTCCGAATGTGCACACTATTCCATCTATGGTTCACTATTAAGGAGTTACGCCAATTTGTAGGGGTGTCCACAAAAAAAAAAAAAAAAGAAGACACTCCACTCAAAATTACCCACAATGCACTTGGGTAAGTAGTGCGCATCGACATTCACTCAACAGGTTAATATCGACCACAATGCATCGCGAGCAGGAAAACAACATGGCGCAAGTGTGAATACCAAAGCGATACAGAGCAGACCCCACTCTCTAGTTGAGCCAATCCATTCTTTTTTTTTAATCCTGTCTCTTCTTTTTCATCGAAGAGACGGACTGAAGATTTACCTGACTCGGCCACCTCTGCAATAGGAACACCTTGCTCGTGAGCCATAAATCCCAGCACAGAGAAGACGGCAAAGCCAGCCACCACACTGGTACAACTGTTCAGCAAACACAGCCAAAAGCAGTCCCTGCAACACACAAATGCATTTTGTTCTGAACTTGGGTTCAAACTATTGCAAGTTTGTAGCTCTGTTTTTCAGCTGGAATGACATCATTACTACGAGGCGTTTCTGATTATAAATCGATACATATTAGGAATAGTTCTCAGCATGATGCAGTGCTGTCCAGCACCATTGCAAAGAACATCCACAATAATATGCAATACATGCTGTAGTGTGAATTTAATACCTTTCAAAAAATGAAATACTTGAAGTATTATTATCTTTGTAAAGGCAGAATTTTCATTCAGCTCTTGAATTGTATCCCTGCCCAGTCTAGGTGTACCTAATGTTCTGTCTGGTAAGTGTGTGCATTGTTGTGTTTTCTAGTTTTATTGTTAGACGTACTTGTAGCAATTGTTGTTGGGGGCGTTGTAGCTGCCTAGTACCGTCAGGGTTCCCACACCGACGCTGTACGAGAAGAATATCTGCGAGACGGCATCCAGCCACACCTGTTTAAAAAGACACACATATAGTGTGTGTTTTCCTTTAACACAATTAATGTAACCTAACAGTCCAACTTGAGGGTCTGTGAGTCGCGACGGATCTGGCAGGAGGTAGAACTCCACTCCTTGTCTGGCTCCCGGAAGAGTGAGTCCACGGATCAAAAGGATGAAGAGCATCACATAAGGGAATGTGGCAGTGAAGTACACTACCTGGACAAGAGGATGGTCACCAAATGTCACAGCATTAATTTTTTTTTTTTTTTTCTGTCATTACGAAAACAATAATTGGACGGTCTACAATATATAAGATAAAATGTAATTGCAACAAAATACGGCAAGCCAAACAACAACAGCCTCCCTTCATTCCAAACTGTAATCACACTCCCATCTCTCGTCCGGCGGGCCACATGCAGAGGTGGCCTCAATTTGCAGACCAAGACAATGCAACACAAACCACTACAATCAGATCTCGTCTTTGTTTTCCCCAAAGCTCAACCACCCACGGTGTGCCAGCACAGATAACGCATTGAGTGCAGCGACCACAAAACACACCAGGCACATTTAGCAAAGGCAGATAAGATGCACCATCGGGCTGGCTGAAATGTATTTCAGGGACGGCCACAATAAAGCATGGATGCAACTCTGTGTCTGTGTGTGAGAGAGAGAGAGAGAGAGAGAGAGAGAGAGAGAGAGAGAGAGAGAGAGAGAGAGACTGTGGACCTCACCTGTGTTCCAGTAGTTGTCGCAGGTACTCCAGGGCAGGGGGGATTTGAAGGAAGAAAAGAGGTAGAACAGAGTCCAGGCCAGAACAACCATGTAGGTCATGAGGGCGTACAGCAGAATCAGCTCACCTCCACAGCCGATACCTGTGCACACGTCACACATTCGAAGTTCGAGTATTCTCTTTATTCGTTTCAGTGAAGAGAAATGTGTCTCTCAGTTTGGGACAGCAGTAAACATGAATACAAATCATCATTCATCCACGTTACAAAAAAACACCACATATGAGGGGTGTGCATCTTTCCAATAAAAAAATAATTCGATTGGTTTCTCAAGTGGCATTCTGATTCTGATTCTTGACATGGTCCGGCAATAGCTTTTGTCCATTTTATGAATATGTAAAACACGTAAAAGCTCTCCAAATCCCAAATTATTCAAGGTAAATAAATTCAAAGAAACAACAAATCA